CCAAACCCACACGGGGGGAGCCCTGACCCTTGTACCATGGATATGACTGTGCATAGAGGGGGACAGGTGACATCGGGCCCCCTGGGCAGGCCCGTCCCACAGGACTGAGTCCCCGCGGAGAGCAGAGTGGAATGCAGACGCGCACGGGGCAGGATCCCTGAGGACGCGGCGGGAAGATGGTGCCTGCAGCCCTGAGGGGCCTGGGGAGGGGCCAGCCTGCCACTGGGGACCGGGACCTGTGCTGCACCTGGACCAGGACCAGGACCCCATGCTGCACCTGGACCAGGACCAGGACCCCACGCCTCCGGAACCAGGAGAGCATATGCCTCCACTGTCTCAGCTGCCCCGGCTGTGGTGCTTTTTTACGGACACCACAGGAAACTGATACAGCCTGATGAGACATAGTAAGAACGGCCTGATTTCACTTCTGTGGTTTCTTTCTCAAAGATGCATAACCTCAACCTAGTCCCGAGAAGATGTCAGACCGTCCCAAACTGAGGGATGTTCTGCAAAGTGACCAGGTCATGAAGACAGAGAAGCTGAAGATCCACCACGGGCTGGAGGAGCTCTCGAGAGCCAGATCCTCAACAGAAAAGAGCCTTAAGGGGGTAAACTGAGAACATCCGAAGCCTGTCTCCAGTGCGGGAACATCACCGTCTGTTCCCAGGCTTCAGTAATTACTTTAAAACAATAGTGTTATGGGAAGGTGGGTGAATGGTACCCGGAAACTCTACTGTCCTGCAATTTTTCTGTAAGTTAAAACCATTTCAAATAAAAACCTAAGAAAAATTAGAGCCTATGAAGTGGCAACCCACTGGCTGAACCCACAGGTATATTTCAGTTGACAAGGTTTAAGGCGAATGTGTTAGCTGCCAACAATACAAATGCAGAGATATAATTTAAAAGCCAGATTTATGGCTTTTCTTCACAAAATCACAGGTTGTGGCAATACCCCCGAGGAAGCCGAATCCCACACCGTGAACCACGGGACCGAGGCCCAAGGCCCCAGCACATGCTCACGGATGCGGGCCCTGGAGGTCCTAGCTCCCAAAGGCACCAGGGCCCCGCACTCAGGGAAACAGCCTCTGTCCACGAGCCCGGGGCGTCTCTGACACTCGGAGGAGAGTCCAGCTGCTGCTGCTAAAGCAAACCTTCCACGTTTCCCGCGCCCCCAGGGAGGCTATGCTGCGGCCGCGGTTGGAGGGGCTCCCCGTCCCTTCAGAGCGGGGCTCCATTTCTGCCCCGAGCTCACGCTGTCCGTCTGCGTTGTGAGCAAACAGCCCGCAAGAAACACGTCAAACTGAAGATAAGAGTAAAAACTTCCCCAGCGCCCATCCGTCCGAAGCCTGCAAACTTGCAGGTGCTAAAAGCACAAGGTCGAGCGTGTCATTTTCTGGAACGTCCTCGGTCACTGTGATTTGTCACTCCCGACGCCATGGAAGCACACAGGGCCCCGTGTTACACATTCCTTCCAAGCTCTCTCTCATCTGTGAAGGTCGCCGTCCCGGGCAGTGGTCCTCACCTGGGCTCGAATAAACGCTCGTCCTTGTTTTTAAGACACCCTGGAAGGTTCGCTCACTCGGCCCTGGAATCTGTCACGCTTGCGTCCGTGTGCTCCCCAGCGTGCACAGCCGCATCGCCCCATCTGGAGGGGCCAGTGGTCAAGGGCACGCGGGTGTTAGCGCTGTGTGTGGTCCTCCCGCCCGCTCACCCACCCCCCGCCGACTGACACTGCACCACGTGCATGCCCTTGGGGGGTGACACCTGCTTCCCGACTACCTTCTGCCACAGCCTCTCCCTCCTCCTCCTAGGAACACGGACACAGAGCACGGGGCCATAGCTGCTTGCCCCATGGGCCAAAGTGACAAAACCAGTGCAGGGCCTCTGGGCTGAGCCCCCCCACCCCATGAGCTACAAGCTATCCTTCCAGAAAACTCCCTTTGCTAACGTTAGCCAAGGCTGGCTTCTGTGTCTGCACGGAAGTCCAGGGGCAGAGCAAGAAGAGCTCACTGGCCCTGTGGGGGCGTGTTATCAGCCCCATGTTTGTTATCACACCTCACAAACTGGAGGCACAGAGAGGCTGGTCGCTCGGTCGACGTCACAGAGCCGATATCTGTGGAGGAAACCAATGACTAGACGTGTGAGTGAACGAGCTTCTCAGAGGACTAATACGCCCTCGTGTTTACCCGTAGTGGTTTCATGCTTTAGACCTTTCACGGACACCGACATTACCCCCTGCTCTTGTCCCGAACCAGCTCTGGAGGGGCCTTCCGGGCGCCACACACCAGGACGGCAGGCCCTGAACCCGAGCCTCCGAGCCCTCCCTGTCCTGCCTGGCCTCAACCTCAAACACACGAAGGTTCCAGAGTCTTTCAAAACAAGCCTTCTCTGCATTTATATACGCTTGATTGCAGACTCGTGCTCTCTCCGTGCCTCAGGGTAATACCCTCAACACAGAAGCACTAAAAACGTCTCTACCTCGTGCCGGACCAAACCTCCACGGCCTCTGAACTCATCCGTCTGCCCCAGGGGCAAGCATCTCTCCATGGAAAGAACCACGCGACTGCATGCAGACGACAGCACAGCTCAAGGACACGGCTCCTCACTCGGGGCCGCTGACTTTCAGCGGTTTCACCACCCAGCATGTGCCTAGCTGCTGCCCTGCACTGCAAGGCACAACGCCAGGCACCGTGAGGAGGGGCCCAGTGGTTCCAAACGGGCCCGGGGCAGCTGCTCAAGAACCCTACGGGCCGGCTACACGGTGGGGCTGCACAGTCCTCCATCGTGGCCTCCGTCGTGGCGCTGGCGGGGTGCAGAGGGGCTCTCACAGGGGTCGGGGGACGGGAGGAGGGCACGCCCTGACACGGAGAGGCAGCGCTCTGACTTCGCTGGAGGGAGAGGTTCACGTGGAAACTCAGACGGGAAAGCTCGGCCAGAGATCTACACCTGAGGTCCAGAGTTTAGATTCTTCTTTGGGGAAGCTCAAAGATTCCACATGGATGAATGGGGTCATCTGGTCTGAGCTTCTGGAAGGTCTGGGCACGTGGAGGGGATGAAGCAGAGGAAGTGGCCAGGAAGCTCCTGGCCCAGCAGAACTAAGTAAGAATGAGGGCTCTGAGCCAGGGAGGGGACCCTCCTACAATAAGGTCACAGTGGGTCCTGCGGGGGCCCACAGACAAGAACCCATGATGGCACCAAGGTTCAGACCCAGAGGGAAGGACGGCGCTGGGGCAGAAACCGGGAGTGCAGAGAATGGACAGGCCTGGGGGAAACACACCCCGTGGGGCACCTGGAGTTGGGAAACCTGTCCGAACAGGGGCTTCATGTCAAAGCCACGGGGCCGCTGTGGGTCTGGGTCCTCAGTGACATCAGTATTTGGTGACACTGACATCTCAGCATTTCTGTGAATTCAGAGAAGTAAACACTTATGCGGTCACATTATAGGGACTCCTACTCAGGGAGTTATAGGAGGTGATGTCACGGGGACGGGACACCAGGTACAGGGGTGGCCCCCCCAAGAGGAACGTGACCTGGGAGCCAGCGAGGTGGACGTGGGGGGCTGAGGGGGCACGGGTGTCGATGGGGCCCAGTGTGTCTACACATCGAAGACAGAGGACACTGGGTGGGCCAGAGATCTCTGGACACTCTGAGAACAGTTTTGCAGTTAGAAGCGTGGCTTACGTACGAAGAGAGCGGGGCCCCAGTGTGGCTGTAGGACTGTGACCCGGCAGTGCCACCGCTGGGCACACACCCAGAAGGACCGAAAGCAGGGCCTGGGAGAGAGAGTGCATACCCGCGTTCACAGCCTTACGGACAGTAGGGGGAGCAACCCAATGTCCACAGATGGGCGGGTGGGCACAGAAATGGCGTATCTTATGTGCATGAAAACAGGACGTTGTTCAGCCTTCCAAGGAGGACATCCTGACGCCTGCTACCACCTGGATGGACCCTGAGGACACGGTGCCGAGGGAAATAAGCCAGAACCACAAGGACAAACACCGGAGGATCCCCCTTACACGAGGTTCCCAGAGCAGTCAGACTCGAGGTGACAGAGGGCAGATATTGGGCGCCGGGGGCTGTGGGCAGAGCATCAGTTTGGGAAGGCAGCAGAATCTGGGGTCGGATGGCGGTGTGAATGTGCTTCGTGACACGGGACCGTGCACTTACACATGGTTAAGATGGCAAATCTTACCTTAGTATATTTTACCACAATTTAAAACTGTTTTCATGTTTTGTGATTTTTTTTAAAAGAGGGAGAGGCCGGGTGCCAGGGCATTCTGAGGCCGGGACTGTGTGTGCAGGTGGGTGGGAAAGGCCCGTGCAGACAGAGGGAATGAAAATACACTTCCGCCAGAACACAGTGGCCGGCACACAGTAGGTCTTCAGTTACGGCTGGTGGAATGGGACAGGGCGGGATGGAATGGAACGAAGTCTTCAGCATGACCCCAAACAGCCAAGAACACCATGAGTTCTTAAACAAAGGCCTTGAAAAGCACGACGTCCGGGTGTTGAATCAACAGCATATCTGGGGACATATCCTGGCACAAGCAAGCTGTGTGTCGTTGAAAGGACCGAGCACATCCATGTCCCTGGACACTTGTCATTCTTACCCGTGGACAACGATGAAGCGAACGTGGACAGAAGTCCAGTTACAACCCAGGAGGACCAAGAACTCACCGCTCCAAACAGCGGAGAAATGGCCCACCCTCAGCCCCAGAGCGTGTTTCCCGCGGAGAACCGAGCACTGCGTGTTGCTAATGGCTGCAGTCAGGGTGAGTGAGAGCTGCCCACCGCAACCCTCCGCAGAGACGTCCGCGCACACACATCTGTGAAAGGCTTTTCCCCCAACGCCAGCACCGCGCGACCAACCCTGTCCCACCGCCGAGGGAAAACCGTGTCCATGCATACCACCTGAGATTCCTTCCCCAGCCCCACACACTCGCCAGTGTCCACGACGCCAGGCGAAGAACGGAAGCGAAGGCGAGTCCGCGTTCACTCACCAGTCTGTGCCTGAGCCGCACCGTGACAAGCGGAGATCCTGACAGGTTCTGGGAGAGCGCGGGCGGCGGGGACACCTCCAGAGAGATCAGGTAGCTGGCCGCGGACAGCACGTGCCTTTTGTAATTTGCTGCCTCAGCAATCCTTGGAAATAAATGAGAAAAAATCAGTATGGAACGGGAATAGGGAAAGGGCACGCAGCCAGAACCTGGGTTTAGAACTTAATGTTAAGGCTGAAATTTTTGAGACTGGAATCTTCCGTGGGTGGAAGTTCGATTGGTGTCGTTCGGTACCCGCAGAGGAGACCTACCGCCGCTGCCATTCCGAAGCCAGCATTCCATCATTCAGTACCTGTCCTGCCAGGCTGGATGCCGGCACCGTGGGCGGCATAGGGGCCTGAGCTCACAGAGCTGATAACAGTGGAAGAAGACATGGCCCGGGGAGTTGGAGAACAGAAGGGTCGAAGGACTGGGTGCAAATCTCAGCAATCTGCTCACTCCGCTGTGTGACCTTGGGTAAGTGACTTACCCCCTCTGAACTTCAAGCTACCTGCTTATAAGACGGTGTGATAGATGGTAGTGCGGTGAGCACCCGTGGTTCCCCTGCCTGGTGTGCGCTCACTCCCCTGAGAAAGGCCCTCGGTTTCCCCCAGGTGATGACCCCCTTCCCCACCTCCAGACCATGTGCTCTGCTGTTGACTCCATTCAGCAGAGGCAGCCATGGTTTGCCAAGTGGCCCTCACTGTAGATCTGCTGTGTGCTCACGAGGAGCTCCAGGCCAGGCATGTGGGGCAGGCCTACTCCACGGGCCACTGTGTCACATCAGGGGACACAGGATAGCACGCCCCACGGCTGATGATGTTGAGCGTGACCGGCTGGCTGAAGTGGCACCTGCCCACTCTGCACTCTCAGGTGCCCTGCTCACTTTGTAAAGTAAGAGTAAAGTAGCTTTGGAGCCCCTACTGTATGCCCAGAACCTGGAATATACGTACAAGAACACCAGGCTTTAGAGCCATCATATATGGACTGAATACAAACTTCAGTGCTTAGTGGCTATATATCTTTGGATAAGACCTTTCACCACTGCCCTGAGGCATACATGGGTGGAGAGTGAGTGAAAAGTGGTGTCCAGAGGTGGAGGTGGAGAAAAGACACAAAGTGTGTCCAAGAGCCCAGAGGGGGGTCTATGCACTGGAGCTCAGTTTGAACAGTGAGCTCCTGAGGTCCCTGAATGCCAAGATTAAGGCATTAGAACTTTATCTGGTAGGATGTTAATCCTGACTCCCTTAGAATGTAAGTTCCACAAAACAGGGATCTTGTCTGTCTTGTTTTCTGCTTGTACCACCAGCACCTAGAATGGTTCCTAAAATATAACAGACTCTCAAAAAAAAAAAAAAAAGTGTTAGGGTTCCCCGAATACCCCTCACCCAGTGGTGTCTACACCCACTCATGGCTTTTGCCTGATCAGTAACTACACTTAGGGTTCCAAGATAGTGTCTCCCCGATGCCGTCGTTCCTTCTGCATTGTTTGGTTGGCATTACTCTACAAAGAACAAGTGCGGACACGTAAGCCAAGCCAAACCCTCCGGGAACTTATCTGTCGGAAGCACGTGTGAGTCTGTCAACAAGACACGGAAACCCAGGGACTAGTCACCGCCCTGCTTCTGTCAGCTGGCAGCGATCCCCTCTCCGGGTCCGGGTCTCCACCTGCGGAGGGGCAGTGGGAGCAGGTGATTCTAGACTCCCTGCCTGGCTCGGATTCCCGGCCCCACTCGAAGGGAAAGGCAGTCCCAGGTGCTTGCCTGGCACAGCAAAGCCATTGGTAAGAGCTGAGCAGCCCTCGACTGATGGGGCAGGTGAGGCCCTCCGTGTGCGGGGGGTATAGCAGGGACCGGCCAAGTGCCCCCCAGGACCCGTGGACACGCAGACGCTGGCCCCAGGAGTGGTTGCTTGGGTCCTTGGAACGGCCCACCCAGGGCTTGGCTGTGAAGATGGAGACCCCGTCCCAGCCTCACCCCCATCTTCATGCACTAAACTGGTGCTGACTCCACCTCACCCCAAAAGGGGCTTGAGAGGACCTTACAATTCCACAGCACCTTTCATTCTTGCAAAAACCATACACATATGAAGGTCACAGCGCATGATACTAAAAGGGAAGGGACTCGCTGTGTAGGCGAGCAGAACACCAGAGTGCTGTCTGCTGATTCTACTCATCTCCTCCTAACTGTGTGTGGAACTTGAGAATTGTCTTCCAGTCAATATGGCGAGAACGTCCAACCATCTTATGAGGTGCTAAAAGCAAGTGCTTACGTGTCACGTCAAGGGCACCAAGCTTTGTTTAAACAGTTAACTCGCTCCGCGCTCATGGCAGCCTCACACGTCGGTACATCGTCATCGCTATTCCAGACGGGAGCACACAGCCAAAGACAGCCAGGCATCGCCCAGGTTCACACCGCCGCCAAGGGCCCCGTTGGGCGAAGAGAGCCGGTGCCCAGCGCCCAACTCTGCGCTGCTGACTACCACACTGCTGGCCAACTTCTGTCCCACCCTGATGCCACAGGAGAGCGCACGCCAAGTACAGGGACCATGCTTTTGGTGAACTACTGGGATGATTTTTTTCCAAGACTAATTTTGACAATAAGACACTTCTGCAGTAAGTGCTGCCCTTAGAACTTCACTGAAACTGAAGATTCCACATATGAAAAATATGTTCTCATCACGGCAAATTGTCCTGTTTTGACTTCGGGAAACCAATGGAGCATGCATTTGCTGCTGACAGGGTGCAATGGTCCACAGGAGTTAATGCTAACAGGGAGAGGGCCGTGAGGGGCACCCTCTGCCTGGGCGAGTCTCAGGGCCCACGACTTTTGTGGGGACAAGAAGAGCTGACCACGGTGATCTGGATCATGCAGCACGGGTCCTGAGGCTCCCGAGAGTCCTCTCTGTGGGGGTGCCCGGGGCAGTGAGGGCAGCAGGGAGGTGAGGCGAAGGCCCAGCTGCCAAGCTTCAAGCACATCCTTGGACTCCCCAGAGCAGGACACAGTCAGCCTCTCCCCCATCCACGGACATAACGGCACGGCCGACAGGGGAGTGCAAACACGGGCCTGGGGGGCTGCCTGGGCCTATAAAGTTTCGTTGGCACACAGCCACGCCCATTCCTTCATGTATTGTCTGAGGTTGCTTTCACACCTCCACGGCAGACTGAGCAGTTGTGACCGAGGCGTTATGGCTTGTAAAGACAAAAATATTTACTCTCGGTCCCTTTATGGAGAAGTTTGTCGGCCGCTGGCTAGTCATGATTCTACTTGGCCCCAGGGAATTGTCCCCTGAAATGCGTGTACACACGGATGTCGGTGAGGAGCAGCTCCACCTTCTCTTTCCTTTCCTAGTCTGAGGCGGAAGGACGATGCGGATGGCAGTACAGACACTGTTCGCCCCACACGCTCTTACCCTTGGCCCACAGACAGGCTCGGCCGTGCCTCGTAAACACAGGCTTCACGAGTTTCACTGACAAATGAGCTTCAGCCTGACCGTTCAGCGTGAGAGCTGCAGATACGGGAGGGGGGCCAAGGACGGGTCTGTTCTTCATTCGTAATCTTGGATTTGGAGAAGTAGCCCCCAAGTAGTTGAGAAGGCATCTTTTTAAGGAAAGGTGATGGCATTTCCCTTCGACAATTCTCCTGAAGAATTCTGGAAATCACACACCAGGAGGGACCGGTCCCCCTCCCTTAGTTACGAGGAAACTCGTCAACGCGCAGTCTTTCCCAGGGCGATCGGACCCAGGTCTACACAAAAGTGGGGCTGTGGTGTCCCCGAGGCTGTGGACATCCAGGCGGCGGCGCCAGCCTCCACAGCCCGCCCCGCAGGGGCACGAGAGACACTTGCCGGAGAGGCCAGGGGGACCCCGTGGCGGGGGGAGCGGAGCCTCCCTCCCCTCCCCTCTGAGGAACCAGCCTCTCCCCGCGCTCTGGGTGGGCTGACCCACCGCCAGGACACAGGGGCCACGTGAGCACACCCTGGCGGCAAGAGAACAGCAGGCTCCGGCCACCGTGATGGGGGAGGCCAGGATGGGCACATGACCCAAGCACGCCAGTCCCAGCTTTCCCCGGTTCCACAGAGCCCATGTGAGCAGACCTGGCCAATGACAGAGCAGGATGCTCCAGCCACCGTGATTGGAGGGAGCCAGATGGGTACATGACCCAAATGGGCCAGTCACAGCCCTGCCTGAGTTTCCATGCACACATTCACGAAAGAGGCTGCTGTCCTTCTGAGACCTCAGGACCCAAAGCTGGGACGTCCTGAGCCACGGGAGCCAGCCATGCCTCTATTATGGAGGGGCCCGCCTGGAAAGGAGCCAACACAGAGGAAAGCACAGGCAGGAGACGGAGTGACCAGGTCGGGAGGCCTCCCCGGGCCCTGGGTCCTGCCATGACTGAAGCCTTCCCCATCCCACGAGCCCCCGGCCTCCCCGCCATCCGCCAGCGGCTGCATATCCAACCAGCCCTGACTGATGCAGGGGTGTGCTGTTGTCCCCCGCTCTACACAAGCGGTGGCGAGGCTCTGGCAGTGAAGGCACTCGTCCATGCACAGGGAGTTCCGGGCAGCTGTGGTCACCTGTCCCCTGCCCCGTCAGCCTGCACGCCCAGGGCCCGCTGAGCCCCAGCTCTGAAGTCCTGCATCCCCTTCCAAGGGCTGTGGCGTGCCCTGGCTCTAATAGCAAAGCCCCCTGTAGACCTGTGAGGGCGTGCAGGTGGAGGTGTCTCCGCGGTCAGCTGCCCAGCGGGCAGATGCACACACGCCCACTGCCCTCTCCCTGCCCTCTCCCTGCCGTGTCACCTGAGACACTCACTTGGTCTTGGCTGGCTGGATGTGGTCCAAGTAATTGTGCATTCTGTGGTAGAGAAGGCCCACGATGGTGGTCCAGGCTGCGGAAAAGAAGAGGGTCACAGACACCTGTCAGCCTTCCAGCGGTAGGGCCCCCAGACACACCCGCTTGCCCAGCAGTGTGCAGCGCCCACCCTCACACTCAGAACCCAGGGGCAGCTCCTGGGGGTGGGGGCGGGACTCGCAGGGGTGGAATTTTCCAGGAGCCTGAGTAGAAACTTTGTGACCCTTCAGCTGTGGCTTGAACTGTGGCAGTGACTGCGTGCTCCTCCTCTGAGCCAACTGGAGACACACAGATGCCACGGCTCCCGGGGAGAGCCTGACTCGCCAGGAACGCCAGAGTTTCTGAGGGCAGAGGGCCCTGCTCCAGCAGTGGGCACCGCGCCACCCTCCAGCTTTGCGTCCTCTGGGTGAGCATGTCCTGTTTGCTGTTGGCGTATGGAGTATTTGCAGCCACGCGAAGACATGAGCGAGGCAGCAGATGCAGGATTTACAAGTGACGGCAATCACTCAGGTGTGCTCCATGCCTTGTGGCTACATCCCACCTCTCTGCTATATGACGGCTTGAAACAGGAATCATTTTTAGTTTAGCAGAGGACGCTTGGAGGAGGAAGTGGTTAGCTATCTTCCGGAGTTCCTCGGGGATATTTGTTGAATATGTTAAGATTTCAGGAATACATTTAGCATCATATCACTCTCACAGTGTGCCAGGTAGAAGGGCTTTCCTCGTTCTTCTCAAAACAATGAGTCTAGTACGAATGTTGTCCCCATTTTACAGATGAGGAGCCTGTAATGCAGGCAGGTTCAGTAACACAGCCAGCAAGTGGCTGAACCAGGGCTGGAGCCTGGGAAGTCCAGCCGCCAGTAGGTCCTTGCGACCAGCAAGTCCTGCTGCCACAGAGCAGAGCATGACACCACAGCCCTGCTGAGTGTGAAGAATGGAGGGTTTCTAGATCCTGCAGCCGGGTGGTATGAGATGAGCAAAGATCACGTACGTAGTTGGCAGATCACAGCATCATCCCCAGACACCCCCCGTTTCTGTAGTTCACCCCAAGGTGGGGGGGGCGTCCTGTGACATCTCCAGGCACCTTTCACGCAGGCAAACAAGAAGGTAGAGGGAGCAGAGGTGGGCCCCTAAGGGCTGGCGAGTGACAACTCCATGCTGGGGAGGGGACACCATGATCCTACACCACCCAGGCTGCTCTTGGTCCCCAGTCTCAGAATCGCATGTCCTCTGGCTGGATTGTCAGGAGCTGCAAATCCAAGGCCACAGGCCCATCCCTGACTTCCCAAGGGACAAGCAGTGGAGGCACTCACTCACTTTTCAAGGGGCCAGAGGGACTGTCACGGTAGCAAAAATGGCCAGAGCTGCCTGAGCCCCCGGAGATGGAAGTAGACCCCTGGGCAGACAAACCCTCACCTAGCCGGAGGCCACCCTGGATGGGGGAAGGGGGATGGCCTCGTCTCTTCATATTCTGCTGACGTGTCACTGTGCCGATCTGGGAGGACACAGCTGTCTTTCACAGTGGACCAGCATCACCTCGAGAGCCTGTCCAAAATGCAGATTCCCAGCCTCCTCCCCAGTTCCAGTTCACGAGGCTGGGGCACACTTGGAATCAGCATTCTGAGTGAGCATCTCAGGTGCCTGCCAGGACCCGCTGAGAAGTGCTGGCCCAGAGCCGCTCCTGTGGGAACAGTGAGCAGGCCTGAGGGCTGTGCGTCCTCCGGGTAACGGCCAGCCGCACGTCTGCAAGGGCCGAGCCCCCGAGGTCCTGGGGCAGGCTCAGCGGCTGCACTCACCTTGGCTGTGGAACGCCTCGTGGGGAACCTCGATGTAGCTCTGCCCCTGGGCCGGGAAGCGGTAGTGAGAGGAATTTATGGTCTCGGGTAGGAGTTTGGCCACAGAAAACTCTGAGAACAAGCCAAAGACAGGAAGCCACAGTCAGTAAGCCGCACAGCGAAGGAAACTGGGCTGTCAAACCCCATCTGCTTCTGCTTTTGTTAACAGAACGAGCTCCCCTGGGCAGTGTAATTACCTCTAGACAATGACGACCTACAAAAATAAGGGTCAAGGACGTCATTTCCACTGTATGGCTGACACGGCCATCCAGCCACTGTGGGTCTCGTGGCCTGAGGTGACCCCTCCTTCCCTCAGGGCAGCCCGTCAGTTCTCAGGGCTGCTCCTCACCACACTCTGGGGGACCCATGACACACAGGAGAAAGAAGATGCCAGAGATGCTGGCCTTCCAGCCGTCAGACACTGTCTCAGCCGACAAATTCCCCCTAAAAGTAACCGATGTGGGTTAGTTCAGCCCCTGTCCCAGAGTTCGGCTCTTGCAGGAGCGTATCAGCAGTGCAATGCTCCCTAGATAAAGACCTTTCAAATGGAGGGGCCATGAAGTCAGTGCATGTGGGACTCTGCGCCGATTATCTTGGAAAAGCAGATTCAGGCCAAGCCTCCAGCTGGCTCTCGGAAACCTGATTCTGCAGCTTTTATTCCACAGACACTCAGAGGAGCTGCTGATACCGACTCCTGTTCTGAACAGAGGGGACTGCTACACAAGATCAGTCCGGCCCCGAGTCGCCATCAAATGCTTCTGTAGCTTTGCATCCACATCATGGCTGAGCACACGTGCCCTGCTCTCACTCTCCCTCCAAAGTGTAATTTTCGTTAAGGGCAACATAGTTTAGAAAAGCAGAGAGGTCTGTCTGAGCCGATGGTGTGTTTGCTGCTGCGTGTGTGTGTGCACCTTTGCCCGCTCTGTGTGCAAATGCACACGCTGGTGTGTACGCACCTGTGCAGGTGTGTACGCACTTGCTTGTGCAGGGGAGCGCGGGGCCGTCAGAGCAAACCCCACAGGCCAGCTGCCCTCCCGAGTCTCCCGCCACCCCGCCTGCACCCATGGCCGCATCCCACACCGAGCTGACCACTACCTGCCATGGAGGAAGAGCCTACGATGGTGACCTGGGGCTCGCTGGTGTCCAGGTTGGAAGAGATGTGGCCCATGACAGTGTCGACGGTCTCAATCAAGCCCAGCACCATGGAATTGTCCTGAACACAACGTGAAGGCACTGAGACAACAGAACCTGCACAGCCAATGTCCTGAGGCCCACCTGAGGCCCACCAGCGGAACACTCCGCCAGGCTGTGCGCTGGCCCCACAGCACCCCTCCACGGGAGCAGCACACTGCATCTCTGAAGGCCGTGGCGGGCCAGGCTTGTGCTCTCGATGAGCAGATGAGAAGGAACGGGGGAGAGCCCCCAGCACTAGCCCTCTTACAGGCGAGGAAGTGGTCACTGAGGTCACTCACCCGGCTGAGCTCACAGCACACAGACATCCCAGTCACCCAGGCCGTTGGCTGCAAGGCTTCTATGCTTAGACACAGGTGACAGAGACCTGGACTCAGCTGCACTCTGAACTCACCTCCACAAATCTCTGACCAGCCCCCTGCCCTGCCCTCTTCTGTTTCAGGAGGAGGGGGCTAAATGCCCCCAAGTCCCCTCCAGGACAAGGACACCAGAAGCTTCATCCTATTCTCCATGCAGGGGAGGGATGCTTTGGAGGCGTCAGCACCCCAAATCCTCTCTGGCCTCTGACCTGCCTGGTGCATCCCTTCCCTCCAAGGGCCCTCTTCACTCATTCTGAGTCCCCAGCACAGAGAGGATCCCAGTGGACATTGCCCCCAAGAAAGCAGGGGCCCCTCCTGGTCACCCTGTATCTCTGCAGACAGCTCAGATGGGGCTGACTGGCCCTCATCATCAGACACACAGCTACTGGGGACAGGGCCTCTCAGCCCCTCAGGTGTGCAGTGGCTGTGCCTTCTGCCATCATGCCCCTTCCATCCTTCCCGCCTTTCTGAAAAGCATCTGTTTGCTAAGCATCCTTAGCATTCTCTCATAGATGCATGCGCCATGAGAATCTAATGAGCTGGAAATAGAACACTGAGGCCAATTTTAGACATTTTCTTTGAGGCCTGTGGCCTGATTTCAATCAGCCGAGCATAGTTAAACACATGGAAATCTGTGTCTCTGGCGTGCAATTCTGTTGGGCAGTAGCTGATTCATACCTTCTCTTGAATGCACATTAGAGCCTGCCTAAGTCTGAATAGCTCATGATTATTCATATTTTGTGGCCAAGCATTCAGAAAAAGTTACTTTAAAATGATGCTGATGAAATGGGTCTGCTCAGGCCCTCCACTGGCCATTTTCTGGGGTGGGTTCCTGTGCTGCAGCCCTGTACACAGACTCCCCCTGGACGTCAAGGACTCTGGAGGGTTGTGCCTTTTCAAAAAGAATTTGTTTCTATGTAAGACTATATCAGTCTTAAATTCAGGTCCCCTTTTTTCCTCCCTTTGCCAGTGTTCACTCCATCTCATTCCATTTGAAACTGTTCAAATAAAAAGTTCAAATATAAATCCTACTGCAATCTCATTAATAGCATTTCTGCCTCAAACTGCCAAATATTTTTTAAACATCATAGGGGTTCAGGAGAATGAGCACTTGAATATTACACCAGTGTGGTTGCGGCTTTGCTGAGGGAGGCAGTTAAGAGTCCTCCACCCTGCTGGGCAACCTTGGACGTTGCGTGTTGAGACCGCATCGACAGAAAATAGACAGAGAGCCAGGACCCTAAAGTCACTGGACTGAGGAAAGGCTCCTCGGACCCACTTTGGACTTTGCATGAATGAGGAGTAAGTTTCAACTGTGCTATGCCACTGAAATGCAGGGGTCTATTTGTTACCAGAGCAGAGCCTAGCCTAGGCTGCCTGATATGCCCAGTGTTGCTGGAAATGGTCCTGCACGTAGCTAAAGACAACCAGATTAAATCAGACATCAGTGTATTTGTACAATATATGTGCATGCAAGTGAAACAAAAGCAAGACAGGAAGGGACATCATGTACAAGAGTGCTCACAATCATGGTCTGCCTTAGGACTTCAGGTGACTGCTCTTTTATACGGTTTTTATTATCTGCAGTTTCTACCTTCTCCACAACACATTAACTTGTTGTATTTGTTAAATAGTAAAGTCAACGAAGTTACTTTTAAATATATATATATATATATTCCATTATCCTTTCTAATTATTTGGAGTTCAGGGGAAAAGAGAGGCTTTTTTGGTTTTTACGTTTATAACCATGAAATACATATTGTCACGTTTCACTTTTTTCACTTAATCTAGTGATCTCTAAACATAAAACACTTTTTTTTATTATGACTCAAGAACAATATGACGGTGAAAAATATTTCATTAAAACGATAAATAGAGGTCAACCAAGTACACACTCCTCATGAAGAAATGGAACCATTTCCCTGCTTGGTGTTGAGGAGAATAACACATTACCGACACCCACACAATTCCTGAGCCATACGGAAGACCAGGCACTTCCAATCTGTATATCTGGTCAAAATGAGCTCAAGCGTCCCAGATAGCAAGACTGGAAGATGCATCATCTCTCCTAGGGATGTGAATTGGGCCCTATTTACAGCACTTCCAGGAAGACACACTGGTCCCCAAAGTACATACATTTTGCAAATCAAAAATATTTTTTTTCTTACCTCTGACACATCAATCCAAGTGGGCAATTGAAGAACCTCTCCCATGGTTTTTAAGAAAACCTAAAGGCCGATAAAATGACACTGCTTAGCATGTATCCTTAATCCTCAAAATCTCAAGACCTTAGATTTTTCCATGTCTTATCAACCACTGGCTGGGTTTTTACATACAGTAATAAACAAAAATAGCTCACATTAGTGTATCAGGTTATAGTTGACAAAGCCCATCAGAGGTATTAACTTCTTTGCTCCCTGTGACAACCCGTTCATCAGTGATAATCATTCAGATATCAGAATGAACACACCTTAGTCATGTTAAGCACAGTACCTGGGAGATATAAGCAGCCCTCAGGAAATGCCTGTTGAATGAATAAGCGAACGAATGAACAGGTGAATAAATCATGGCCTGCTGAATATGCTTTCCTTGGGTAGAGAAGCCAAGCTGACTTAAAACCACTTGTGTTCATTGGCAATTACCTCCCCATAAAGAAGTTAGTTGGAGACCCTTGGTCAGATCACCTTAAAATCATGTTTGGTTTGGCTCACCATTGTTCTAAAAAAATTAAATTAGCTTTTAACATGTTCAAATGGGGAGATTTAAATGAAAATATGTGAATTTCCTTGTTCCTTTGAGAAGAGCAGAAGCTCAGGCCACCCCTAGCCCACAGTCCCACATGGCCACCATTGGCCAACGTGGAACGGCAGCTGCCCCTTTAGTCAGATATGTGTCCCTCCATGTACTCCAGTCCTCACCACTCTCTATTTCCTGACACCCAGTCCAGTCCCTCATTTATATCACTCATGTCAGCTTTTACCTGTTTGTCTTCTACTGTAGACACAGATTTAAACTTAGAGCCTGATCTAAATCTCCCATATTTCCACCAAACTACCATCTCCAGAAAAATCATTCTTCCTCACACTTTTAGACACTAAATACTGAGAGAATACATCATCAAAACTCCTCACTCTTTCATTACCTTTATTTGATAAATACTTATTAAGACCATGAAGGGCAAGACCTTATGAACTAAGGATGAACAAAATATTGGGCTTAAGGTCTAGCGGGCAGAATTTATAATCTAGAGCAGGGAGTCAGCACTTTAAAAAAAAATCACCAAGTATTGAGGTTTTAAGGCCATACAATTCCATCACAAGCACTCAGCTCTGCCATTATAGAGCAAATGCAGCCACAGACAACATAACTAAATGAGCATGTTCCAATAAAACTTTATTACAAAAACAGGCAACATACCGGATTTGGCCTAAGGGCTATAAATTGCTGACTCCTACTCCAAAACAGTTCGGTGGAATAAAAATATAATGCCAGCCACATTTCCACTTTTAGATTTTCTAGTGTCTGTCTGTCAGTCTGTCTATCAGAAAGTGCACATGTGCCCAAGCAGGGTGGGAGGCGGCAGAGGGAGAGAGAGAATCCTGATCTCAGAACATGGAGGTCATGACCTGAGCCAAAACCAAGAGTCAGGGCTTAACCAACTGAGCCACCCAGGCGCCCCTCTAGTAGCTGTATTTTAAAAAAGTAAAAAGAAAACAGGCGAAACGAATTTTGCTTCTACTAATTATGTTTCAAACTAATTATGTTTTACTTAGTTCCATATATCTAAAATAGCACTCCCACATGCTAATATAAAAGTTATCAATTCAATATTTTACATTCTTTTCTTTGTCCTAAGTGTTAGAAATCCAGTGGGCATTTCACATTCACAGCACATCTCCCTTGGAATTCGCCACAGTTCAAGAACTCCCCAGCCAGATGTGGCTAATAGACCCCTTATCACCCAGCACGGGAAATGACTTCTCGCCAATTTCCTAATTGCTAGCGGTGGAAAGCCAGGACATCATGGAAAATTGGATATTATTTCTCTTTGAATCAGAGATGGGCAGGGTTTTGGGCAAATCTGCAGGATTGCTCCGCAGGACACCCAGAGTCAGGTCTCTCCACGGGGGCCCACACCAGAGGTCCCAAACCGAGGGCCCACAGACTGCATCCGCCTCACAAATCTGCACATAACTGCTTTTAAAATTTTAGTTAGCTGTCCACTACTTAAAAATTGGATTATTTCCCACTTTAGAGATCCAGGTATGGGGCTTCCCTTGCAAAATCAGAGGGGGCAGTGCCACAGGTCAGCTAGCCACCACCCCTGCAGACGGCCACAGTCCCTACTCCCTCCGGCTGCCCGGCCCCTGAGCGCATTGCAGTTTGCAACTCCAGACACTGCCAGGTGGCCCAGGGTTGAGTCACAGGGAAAGAGGAAATCGCTGAGCTTAACGAGAAAGTCTCCCGCCTAGGCCTGCACGGGATTCTATGTTCCAACAGAGACATCCCCTCGAGGCTACGGAGATGCCCCAGCCTCCGGGCCAGCCCGCGCACACTGGACACCCCGGCCTCCAACCCAGGGAACCCTGGGGGGGCGGAGCTTTGCAGCCTTGGCCCCGCCCACGCCTCTTTATGATTGGCTAAGCCTTGGTGCCCCGTCTGTTCCCCGGGCTAGGATTGGTGGTGGTCATGTGACCGAGCTTCTGCCAATGAGCTGTGAGGGGAGAGCCGCACAGGGAACGCTGGGAAAGATTTTCCTTCCGGGTGAAGATGGAGGCGGGGCTTCCTCTCGCTCTGGGACTGGCTGGCGGGGCCTGGGGTGTGGGGCCGTCCCGGCCGCGGGGAGACACAGCGGAGTGTGAAGAGACCTGCGCTGCCGCCGCAGATCCGTGCTATGCAGGAAGACCAAGTACCGGAGCCCGGGGTAAAGCCGGCCGGGTCCTGTCTGGAAGTACTCAGGGCGGGGAGGCCCCTCGGCGCCGGCGGGGAGGCCGGGCCTGTGGGGCGGGTGCCGGCCCCGGGACCAGGTCAAGGACTCGGCCGTCCGCGTGCGCTCCGCACCCCGAGGCCCTGCGGGGCAGCACCCCGGAACCCAGCGCGCCCTAGGGATGGACGGAGGTGCCTGAGAAGCCGGCTCTCGCTTCCCCCCGCGGGGACAGGAAGGCGAACAGGGCCCTCCTTCCACTCCGGGGTGCCCGGGCATCGGGGCAGCTTTTCATGCGCCCCTCGGGTCTGCCTTCAGCCTGCAAGCCGGGCGGAGTGAAGAGGCCTTCCAGAACGCTCACCTAGCGCCAGACACTGTTCTCGGCGCACACAAATGCCCGGAGCTCCCCCGAGCTGAGTGTCCTGCGGTCTTCCCCACATCGCAGCAGGGCGGAGTGACCGAGGGCACAGGGCGAGGAACCGCGGAGGGAAATTCAACGCTGCAGCCAGCCCCCTGCACCCTGCTCGGACCCATAAGCTGCACTTTCCGGGGGAACCCGCGCAGTCTCTCCACCTCGGCCAAGAACCCCGGTGCTCCACCTCTACCCGCCCGGGATCCGCCTCTCCCTTGACCTGGAGAGTATTTGGAGGAGAGTGAAAAGCGGCGGCACCTTGATTCCATGCCATAAGGGGCACGTTCACGAAGTGCTTTAGGTGACCTTGGCAATTCCCACTGCCCTACACGTCACAGCGCTGTGGGTCACAATGTGTGCAGAGTGAGGTCTAGGGTCCCACGGCTGCACCTGCGCAAGACCCAGTCCCACCCTTCACCTGCTGCCAAGGGAGGCAGCGAGGCTTAGAACTGGAGTTGCACACCCAGATGGCCGGTGGCCAGGTGGATGCCGAGATGGGAACCACGAAGAGCTGAGGTAGAGCCGAAGGAGGCCCCGGCGAGCTGGGTAGAGCTGGCTGGAGAGGCCACCCTATCTCGTTGTTCATGAGAAGTCTGTAACCCAGACTTTTATGTAAAAGTTCTTGACTTTTCTATAACTCTGTGCAGATTGAGCAAAGCACGCCTGTGGGCCAGGATCTGGTAGTTTGCCATCCCTGACCAGCCAGGCACAGAAATCAAATAGCTTTACCTGGGTGAGGTTCAACGCCATTTCCTGTGAGAGAGGCTTATTGGGTAATTTGAGGGACACATTTCGCAGGTAACTCAGTACAGTTCCTGGACTCTGGAAGTTTTTTCTTGTCTCTGTCAAGTTGATTATGATAGGACGGTAAGCGTTGGTGGGCATCTGAAAGAAATGACAGGCATGAGTTCAGCTAGGGATGAAAGCCAGGAAGTCCCACGGAAATTCAGTGTGCCCTCCTAAAGCCCCGTGACGATGGCAGGTGCGCCTACTGCATACCAGGAGGCACTTTTCCGACTACCTAACACATACTGACCTTTCATCCTCTCAACAACTTCAAGAAAAATGCACCCATTTCAGAGATGAAACCAAGCACAGGGAGGCTTACCCAGAAATACATGTGGAACTGGGGTTTGAACCCACACCGATGGTACAAGGGTCTGTGCCCTCACTGTTCCTTAGAGTTCCCAAATAAAGTGGTGTGATTACAAATACTAATTCCAGAGGAGAATGTTTCTGTATGGATTGCTCTTCCCTCAAACATCGGGAGAAGGGGCACAAAGAGAAAGCGAGCATCGGCTCAGGGCCCCCCTGCTCTCCGCTCACTGTGTCACCTGCCCAGGAGACGGTCTCAGTGTTCATGTCCCCCGGCAGTCTGGTTTACTTCCTTTTGACCCCCGAGGCCACAGACCACAAGAAGCAGAGGGCTTTCCCTTCAGTCAGCCTGAGCATCTAGAATTAGTGCCAAAGTTAGCTTCTCCTCCAGGGAGGATTTCTTCCCAGACACTATACTGCCAATAAGAAGAGCCAGACTGTCTAATGGAATTCAGTCCTGGCACACAGGCTAAGCAGAAAGGCTTCAACAAGAAGTAGGGCCGAGATCAATGCATGTGCTTACCACAGTGTTGGCTGGGGGTGTCATGAAGAAGCTTGGTGGCGTTGAAGACAACAAAGCATGCTTTCCTGGAAAGAATCAGTAACACTTCATTAAGGACTGAAACATGGTCAGTCTTTCACCCTAAGGAAGCGCTGTCTTTATTCAGAACTCTTCAGCTTCAGACACATCTAAGACAGTCTGAGAATGTTTTGAGTAGGAATGCTGCTGGAAAGATAAAGGGCTAATAAATCAGCTTAATGGGCAGATTGTAGGGATTTTCCCAGGTCACGTTACTTTTCTATTTATGTTTCAAATTGCTTTTGAACACCCTTCATGCAACTCATCATATAAAACGATGATTTTATACAAGCATTTACCGATTTTAAATAGAGAACCAAAAGAAATCACCTTCCACTGCATCTGGCCTATTTGGAGATGGAATACGGAGGGCCGTTAATCTCTGGGCTAGGAGAAACAATCCATCCGGTCAAGCCTTCCCTCCCAGACAGCTGGAGCAAGACAAAGTGGTGGGGGGACTGTCCTCTTGAGCCCCTTCGACCCTGAAGATTCTAGTTCTTCTTTCTACTCCATTTGGTTAATCATAAATAATTACAGATAATGAGGACATCCAGCACCAAAGATAAGCCATATTTGCTCTTCTCTGCCTGTTTTCCACCAATGATTTCTAATTTAGCATTTCCTGGTAAGAACACAGACTAACTAGATACTCGACCTCATTTTTGGAAAATCCCTCAAGGTTGCTTGGGGTGACCCAAAGAAATGACCTCATCACTCCTAGTTAGCTCCAGTAGTACCCGGCCCCCTGGGTTGGGGTGGGGCTGGGTAGCTGGGGACAGACACAGAAGGGGAGACACTGCCTGGAGTACTAGAGCCCCAAACATTCTGTTCCCCAAGTCAAAGTGACATTTGTTCCTCGGGTGCCCAGTAGTGACAGAAGAGTCACACTGAATCCAACTATAACTCACGTGAGTCCACAAAATAAAGTGCAGGAGAGTAAGGATCAGACCAGCAGTCCCGCCCACCCTCGCCATTGATGACCCTGTGAGGCTGAGAGAAGAAAGGAGACTCTTTCGTGTCCTCTGTCAGTCTCAGGTCCCAAAGGGCTCTTACTTTGTGGGCATCTGGTTGTGTGGGTGTGTTTCCAGTGTTCAAAGATACATACTTGGAAAACCAGACTCTGAATGCAGCCGTCTACTTCCTCTGGTCCCCTGTTGGGGGGTGGCTATCCATTGTAGCGCTGGGGGCAAAGCTGACCAGGTGATCAATGATCAACGCTCTGCCTTTGTATGAATTAGAAAAGGCTACCACACGTGGCCTGCTCTGGCTAATGGATTAGAAGGGGACCCCCCCTTCTGGACAGGTCACGCATAGAAATGCTGGCTTTGGGCACATGCTGTGTGTGCAGACGGCTTTATGCAAAGAACAGGTTCTGCCTCCTACGGACCGGCCCCAGCAGGGCCTTGACCTGGGCTGAGAGCAGGCTGGACCTCAGCCCAGATGTCTGTCTGCACGCAGCTGCCTTAAACCTGGCTCTGATGGACCGACTCACATGGGGCAGTGCAGGGGACTTCCAGTCATTTCCTCTATACGTGCTTTATGTCATATGACCTGTCTTCAGAACCAAGTCCCCAAGTAATACGGGGTCTGATGGGTCTAGTTCTGGTTCAGCAAAGATGCATGCATGTGCTCCCTGGGACACATAAGTGTTAAGGCAACACCTCTCCTGAATCCCCCCAAAAATCAGACACCACCTTCACAGGGCACAGAGGGTGAGGTGACCTGAAACGCTGTGCTGTGTGTGGGGCTGATGCTCCCCGTCCCCGAACCCTGGGATGTCCTGGGGACAAAGGCTTGTGGGGACAGCTGCAAGAGAGAAACAGTGACACCTCTTTCCAGTGTTAATAAAATGGTAAAGTAGCAGGAAGGGAGGATTTGTTTGAGGCTTTCAGTAACAAATACAGATGACATCTTGGTCTCGGAGTGACAAATTTCTGAATCTTAGGCTATAAAATGCAAGAGATTGATATATTTTTTTTATTGTACAGGACCTATATTTTGTCCTTATGTCACTCGTATGAAAGGAATGAATTCCACTTTCTCAGTGAAAAATGGAAGTCTCAAAGGTTGCCACGGACAGAGACTTCCTGCACGCACAGCGGCCATGCCTGCTCCCAAGACCAGCAGCCCCAGTCATCGTTGGGGAGTCCCCTCTCCTCCGAGTCTTAGATGCGGCTGACCCCACCGCCGTGTCAGAGGCGGACTAGGACCCAGGCTGAAGGCCATCAGCATATTCTACACCCCCAGCCAGAGGACTTAGCTCCTGGGAAACACATGGATCAGTCTGGCCAAATGCGGGAGATGACAGAAAAGAGAAGCCCCTTGCCTTCTGCTGAGGATGGGAAGGGGACCCTGGAAGGAATGGCAGCCATGTTGGCACCACAAGAAGGAAGCTGAGTCAAACACAGAAATTCCTAGTGACAAATGTGAGCACCTAGAGCAAACTGGTCTTGAAGCAGATTTTCTATTGTTTCCATTGTGTGAGATTGTTTAATTCCCTTCTTGGCATAAGTCACTTTAGTTGTGTTTTCTGTCACGTAATCACAGGGTCCTAACAGCTGAGGGGTTCACTGTCAGAACCTGAGGGGAGGCAGGCTTTCACCTGGTCCTGACCTGCCCCTGCTGGTGTGGTGTCAGTGCAGTGGCCAGCCAAGGGATGTTTCTGAGTGACTGTCGTTTTTTGGCAGATGATTTTATGTTAAAGAATCAGTGCGTTCACTTGGCAGAATGAAAACGGACCGAAGGGAAAGTAAGCATTAATCTTAAAAACAGTGAAAATGTTGCAAAAAGCTGCCACATGCAGGCACTGTGCTGATGCCTCACACCCGTCACACTCTGTCTGCGAAGCCCCAGCCCCGCGGGGCATGGGTGGTACTATTTCCATCCATTTACAAAGGGGAATGCTGTGATTTGGAAAGAGTAAGACACAAAAAGTCACATATTGCAGGAGTCCATGTACATGGAAGACCCAGAAGAAACTCTGTAGAGACAGAAAGTGGATCAGTGGTGGCCACGGGCTGGGAGGGGGAGCCATAGCTAGTGGGTGCTGGATTTCCTTCCAGGGTGATGAGACTGTTTTAAAACCAGAGAGGCTGGCTGCACAATATGGTGTACATAGTAAGTACCACTAGACTATATACCTTAAAACGGTTGAATTTATGTTACATGAATTTTACCTCAACAAGAGTGACTTCCCAAGTCCCATGGCTCATCGTGGCTGAGTGAAGATTTGAACCCAGGCTACCTGTCCCTCAGGCCCTGTCTCTGAACAACCACTCTGTACTGAGCAAGAAGGGGGCATCCTTGAGGCTCCCTGAGGCCCCATCAGAGTCTGGCTTGCAGGAGGCACCCGGTGAACATTTGTTGATCAAATGCATTAATGGATCTGGAATATCTGCTCCCAAAGTTGTCTGTAATCATCATGTACACCTCGAAACCCCCTGATGACCAGCAGGATATTCATCCCAGTGTCTCTCCTCTAAATTGCCAGTTCCTCCATCTTAGGGAACAGATGTTCTAGAGAAATGGCTGTATTTATGAGGTTCATTAGCACAGCCACCTCAGGAGACTGCGGAGTGAGAAGTGCTAGTAAGGGAGGCAGATAGAAGGAGACTTGCCCTTCCAGAGATGGGCAGAGCTGGCCTGAGCCCTCCCCCACATGCCCACTGACCAATGGCAGCTGTGAAGTACATCGAGATCTCGTCCGGGGTCAGGGCCCGTTCCCAGATGATGAACTCATCAAAAGCTCCATCCTCATAACGCTTGGTCTGGTCCTGCTCAGACCCTATCACGAGGTTGATGCTGGGCTCCCCGTAGGCGTGAGACACTTTGCCACTTGGGTCAGAGGTGCTCAAGGTCCCATTGACGTAGACTTTCAAGCCTTCCTTGGATTTCCATGTAAACAGGACATGAGTCCAGTAGGGACCTAGAAAGAGCAAAGATCACTATTCTGCTGATGTGGGAAGAGCTCCCCATGCATGTGTCTCCCAGTTGTTAAGTACATCCCTCTTGAGAGGATTAGTCACTGTTAACCTTGAGGAGTCCCCATATGGATCATAATGTAGACTCCCCTTTCTCAGTCCTTTGAAGCACAGGGAAGAAATTACCTCATCCCCAAAATTCCAGAAGCTGTCCAAAGAGACCCTTTGTTATTTTAAATTAAAATGAAATAATAGCTAACGGCCATAAGTTGTTCAAAAAAAATTTTTTTTAGTCCTGCCTAGGCGATCACAGTGCAGGGGTATCCATCTCTGCTCTGACATATTATGTGTGATATTAACCAACATGGTGGTACGATGGTAGGGCCACCCTCCTGGCTCATCCTCTCTGGCATGAGAACCAGAGTCACCAATAAACAGAATGTTCATCAGACTGATGGCAACTTGCCCCACAGAGGGCCTCACTTTGTTTTGCAAGTGTTGTGTTAAGACATCTCATGGGCTTGCTTCTGGAAGGAACAGGGCAGCCCTTTAAAGGACGTGTATCACCTTGAGCCAGGCATCATCTTAAATCACCCAGCAATTAGCTACTGGGCCATCACCAAAATAAAAGCTTCTGCACAACAAAGGAAACATTCAACAAAACCAAAGGCAGTCTATGGAATGGGAGAAGATATTCGCAAATGACATATCAGATAAAGGGTTAGTATCCAAAGTATGTAAAGAACTGATACACTCAACACCCAAAACAACCCAATTTAAAAAAATGGGCAGAAGATATGAACAGACATTTCTCCAAAGAAGACATCCAGATGGCCAACAGACACGTGAGAAGATGCTCAACATCACCCATCATCAGTGAAATGCAAATCAAAACCACCTCACCCTGGTCAGAATGGTTAAAATTAATAAGTCAGGAAATAACAGATGTTGGCGTGGATGTGTAGAAAAGAGAACCCTCCTACACTGTTGGTGGGAATGCAAACTGGGGCAGCCACTCTGGAGAACGGTACGGAGGTTCCACAAAAAGTTAAAAATAGAACTACCCTACAATCTAGCAATTGCACTACTAGGTATTTACCCAAAGAACACAAAGATATGAATTCAAAGGGATACATGCACCCCTGTTTATAGCAGCATTATCTACAATAGCTTAATTAGAGAAGCAGCCCAAGTGTCCATGGACTGATGAATCCATAAAGAAGATGTGGTATATATATACAATGGAATATTACTCAGCCATAAAAAATGAAATCTTGCCCCTTGCAATGACATGGATGGAGCTAGAGAATATATTGCTAAGTGAAATAAGTCAGAGAAAGACAACTACCATATGATCTCACTCATGTGGAATTTATGAAACAAAACAAAAAGAGACAAACCAAGAAGAACAAATTAGTGGTTACCAGAGGGGAGGGGTTGGGAGCTGGGTGAAATAGGTGATAGGGATTAAAGACTACACTTACCATGATGAAAAATAAAATAATTTTTTAAAAAGATAAAGTTCTGTAAATCAACTGATCACCCAGCAATTACCCAGGACCTTTCTTGCTCAGGATTGTGCAGCTTTTCTAATTTTGAGTCTTTGGAAAGCACTTGGGTCCTAAATGGGTCCAAAGTATTATTGTCTTTGCACTTAAAGCAAGAATAACAGATTTCTTCAATGAACAAAGAATGTATTTGCCAGGCAGAAATGTTTACAATTCTCCCCATTTCCCTGGCTGGAAAAAGAGAATTCAGTAGACTACCTTAAAATATGAGGTAAAGAAGAATAGAATAGAAAATAGAAGAAACCTACTAGGTGCCCCATAGAGTGTCAGCCCCCGAGGAGCACAGAGATAAGACTCTTACAGAAGAACCTGACCTTGGGTAGAACATGATAAGCACCATGAACAAGGTACAGGCAGTTCTGTATGGCGGGAGGGAGGAAGAGATTCTTCCTGGCCTGGGATCAGAGAAAGCAAATAGGCAAGATTCTCCCAGACCTCTTGTAGAGGCGAGGTGGATATTCAGGCTTGGTGTGAGTAAGGCTCCCAGCTCACACAGGCAGCATGGTACAGGGAAGGGTTTGACCCAGCCTGTTTGGCTCTAGAGTCGTCTGTGTCTTTTAACAACTGAGACATACAGGCTCTTCTTTAAATGGGTCAGAAAATGAATTGTCCTTAAATATCTCAAAAATATCTTCTCCTACTGGAGGCCTTCATTCTGCCCCCTTCCCCCTCCATGCTTCCCTCCTAGTCCCCGGCCTGGACTGGGCTCCCCGCTCAGCATCACCCCAACTCTTCTCTCCCTTGTCCAGTTTCCGCTTCGGACCCTCTGCTCCCCCAGCTTCCTGCCCCGGGCCTCTGACTCGTGCCCAGTGCATGACCTGATCTCATGCCACAGAGAAAGCAGGAGTCTCCAGAGCCATGCGGGCCCTACAACACCCACCTGCAAACTCTCCAACATCTACACAGTCCAGTGTTGCCCCCCACTTGTCCCAGAGCCCCCCTCCCCACAGCTCCAAGTCCTCTCCTCGAGACCACCCTTCCTCCCCTGGTCTTCAGCCTCTGTTCCAGAAAGTGTTCACATCCTATTCTAAATATTGCCAAGTCTATACCACTGGGGGGGCGGGGCATGGGAGGAGGCAGAGCAGGAGAAGAAGAGGCAGCGGGGGAGAGGAGGGGGACAGTGAGGGGGAGGGGAAGGAGGGGAGGGAGTGGGAGAGAATGGGAGGGGAGGGAGGGAGAAGTAGAAACAGTGGCCACCATGCCAAGCACCTGGCGCGCACTCCTGAATTTCGTGCCCCAGACCGTGTGCAGGGCACGTCCCATTGGCACCTTCCCTCTGGGACACGGAAGCCGAGGCCACGTGTCAGGCTACCCGAGGCAGGCTCACAGCGGGGGTGGAGGAAGGGCAGGCCCTCTCTGGCAGGTCTCCCCAGGGAAGCCCAGAGCGCAGAGGCCCGGCCGGGCCCTTACCTGGCGGACTGAAGGTGGCCTCCCAGGTCATGGCGTTCTCCCGCGTGTAGAGCTCCACCGAGCCCTTGCCGCCGCTGGAGCAGACTCTGAAGCCGTCGGAAATGACCTGCCCCCCATAAGCAAAGGGGGTCGGTCTGGACTGCTCGCCTCGTGTCTTCCAGAAGAAGGAAAACGTGACCCCTGAGGGAAGGAAGTGACAGGGCGAAGACTTGACGGACAGCAGAAGGGACCCCCACAGAAGCAGGTGGTTCTCTCCACTCCTTACTTTTCACGTGAAAAGCCATTTTTTTCTCATTCTAGAGACAACTCATGTTCAATTCAGAAAACACAGACAATAACAATAGGCCATATTTATCAAAAGCTCAGAGTACTGGACCCTTTCCCAAGAGTTCTGAGCGAATTATCTCCTTCAACATCATGAAAACCAGGTTATCATCCCCATTACGCAAATGAAGACCCTGAGGCAGTTTGCCTGAGGTCTCCAGACCAGCATCAAGCTTCGATCCAAGCTCAAACCTTGCGGCCCCAGAGCCCGCAAATATCAATAACCTACACCATCCTGTTCTTACTCCTGCTTTTCGTCCAGAAGCGTCTTTATGGTAACTCCTCCTAAAACCTTCCCTGCAAGCCTATTTTACAAAGAAGGGAACCAGCTCCTGCATACTGGCTTATAAACCACATCTTAAAAACACTTCCTGCATCTCGAACTTCCTCCGATGGCCATAAATACTCATGGTGTGTCTGCATGGCATTATATTCTAAATTGGGACGGCACGGTTTCCTTCTCCTTCTTACTCCCCAGACAAAAGTGGAAGCTAAATCTTCTGACAAAAGTCATATTCTATCCTTTAGGCTAAGTTCCTAGTGGGGAATTCCCAAAGGGGAAGCCCACTTTTAAGGGTCTTGATGTTTAGGATAGTAATTTCCAACAGAGGCACAGAGGGGGGCCCAGGGGGCCCTGCAGCTAGACTTCAAGACACCCCGTACTGCACCATGTGGACTGAGGGGCCTTTGCTCAGATGCTTCTGAGCCAGCCAGCTCCGTGCTTGCTGCGTCTCAGCTGAGAGCAGGTCCAGCTCTTGGCGGGGAAGACCCCGTCCTGCAGTCCCCTCGCAGGCCTGGGCGCCGGGCTCCTCAGGGAAGGGACACGGGGGCCGGAGCTGGCCGGAGGCTCAGCTGCATGTTAGGCTGCCCACCACTGCCTTCCAGAGCGCGGACCGCCTCTACCTGTGGGGCTGACTCCAGTGAGATTTACCCTTTCCCTGCTCATGAGTAAACTCTGTGCACGCGTGTGTGTGCGTGTGTGCGCGCGCCCACGTGAGAGACAGAGACAGACAGAGTGCACATACACGGGTAAGTAAGTGCTGAGCTAGCGACCCGCGTGGACTTTGTGTGGGAGCTGGAAACCATCCCGGCCGCCCCACCCCTCCCAGTCTGGCCCGGCGAGGAGAGGACAGTGCCCAGAGTTGATCAAAACAGGCCCGTGACTCGGGGTGGGAGGACAGGGGTGGAGGGCCATTTGCCCCGGGCCTTATTTATACACATGGCACCAAACTTAGACTTTGGGCCTTATCTTCAAATGACATTATGGACCCAGCCTGAGTCACTGAATCAGCAGACATTTGCCATCACATATAAACTTGCATCCTGTCATCAACCACCTTGACGGTAACGCCTTATGGACTGACACATTTGTTACAAATTGTTCGAATGTCTTGTGACGATCAGACTGCATTATGCTTTTGTGGGCTCCAAGCCCTAATTTGGTTCATGAAAAGCATGTAGAAAAGCATAATTTTATAATCCTGGTTTGGAATTTCTCCATTTTTTTTTTTAATCTAAGAGGAACCTCAAAATAATGGCAGGGGCCTGGAACTTTCGGAATCTCTGAGAAGCTAGAGTAGAACTCCACCTCATAGGGATGTGTGCTTAGGGCTCCTGAGGAAAGCAGAGAGCCCCCCAAGTGCCCCGAAGGACAGGACTGGGGATGGAAGGCTGCTCAGAGGTCGCGGTGGTCCCAGGGCCCTCCCGGAGCCCACTCCATGCTCAGGGCCCAGCCACTCCCGCCCGCCTGGCGGCCTGGGACCAGAGTCCAGCACAAACCGTGGCCCTCCCGCCGAGCCTCCTGCGGAACCTCCCCACTCTCAGAAACGACCCGTTTCACCAGGAAGCAAACACATGCATTGTGAAATTTTTGTTATGAAATGAATTCCCAGAAGATTCATGGAAGTTAATTTTTTCCAAACACTTTGCTGCATTTAGAAATTCCTTTTATTCAATCCCTCTTGGCCAAACGTCTTTCTGTCCAGGAAGAAAAAGAAAAATAAGGCAGTCGGTTTGGCATTAGGTGAGGTGGACGCGAGGCAGACGATGCTGCCTGTAGGGCGAGCGTTTCGTTTTCATCCGTGTAACCTGCACAATAACCGCTCCTATCTGCAGAACAGCTTTATCTCTAAACATCCATTCACGTCTTCCCAGAGTCTTAGGAGCTCACAGGGAGCCTGTCGCGCCGGTGTCCCCGAGCACGGCTACAGGGCACGGGTCATCAGCACAGGGAAGAAACAAGCGGGAGGGAAAAGAAGGAACTCTGATGATTGACAAGTTGATTCCCCACTTCTTCCTTCGTATGAGCATTAAATCCGAGTCTACCCAAAAAGATAAAATGAGGAGAGGTCTTCCTCAACAAGACCCAGAAAAAGAAAAGGTAAACATCATCTAGATGCCACAAGAAGAGACAGATGCAATCGAGCGCAGAAATACAAAATTCTGCAAGGCGAATAATTTACCGTAACAACATCAGAGGGCAACCAGCCATCCAGGAAGAAAAAACTACACGTGATACATTTAACAGTCAAGAAATTCATGTCCTTACTATGTAAAAACACTTGATAAAGAAAAGCACCATCACGAGCATTTAATGGGAACTTCCCAGGAGCAAGGAAGACTGTTCTAAGATCCCTCCAACAACCCTGTGAAGCGGGTGTGATCGGTGTCCCCATTTTACAGGTGGAGAAACTGAGGCACAGAGAGGCCATGCAGCGGGCAGCAGGCAGGATTGGAACTGGGCAGGGTGGCTGCAGAACCTGCACTGTAATCACGGCGCTGTCCCACCCTCCCCAGACGCACGCTCGCTGAATGAAACTACAGGGATCCTCAGAATTGCAGCAAAAAAAGGATGCACAGCAAAGCCCCAGGCCCAGCGAGGAGGTCCTGGTGGACACGCTGTCCTCTCCGTGTCTCTGTGGAGGGTGGGAGGGCAACTGGCAGGGGTGGGGCGGGGGTCTTCCCAGGTAGAGGAGCAGCCCTCCCCCGCCCGGGGGCTCAGTGCCGTGTCCTGCACGCCTGTGGTTCAAAGTGGACCCAAGCAGCTGCAAGTGGAGAGATCACAGCCACCTGTAGGCCTCGTGGCCAGCGTGGCATCCAGGCGCCCTCCCCCAGAAACAGCACCACTGTGTCCCCTGGGAGAGCCAAGCCCCCCTGCCCACCGCTGTTTCCTCCAGCCTGGGTGGGGCCGACTACGCAGCCCGGGCCAGCTCCATCAGAGCTGCCGCCGCGGGGCCCAGAATCAGGACCAACCCTGCTCTCACACCTGGGGTGCCTTCCCCAGAGGAGTCTGAGCGCAGAGCGATGCATGTTTCTGCCGGGAGTGTTGGAGCACCTGCACCAGCCTGATGCAGACAGTGTTTCAGAGGGGCCATGATGCCTCCCATCCCATCTGCTTCCGCACCATGTGACCCCGCCACTCTCCACCAACCCTCAGAGCCAAGTTCCCCACCTGCCCCGGGCCTGACTTGACCCAGGGGGGACAGCAGAAGTGACCCTGGCCCAGCCCCAGCTGCCACCCCCGTCTCGGAGCTTCTGCTGCCTCTTGTTGCTCTGAGCCGACACGGAAGTCCGGGCCACACAGGCAAGCCCAGAGGGGCCAGAGTGAGAGGGAGGGAGGCTTTGGTGACCCCGGGCCTGGCCACTCCCTGACTGCAGCTGCTCGAGGCCCCGAGCCCAGCCAGCCCACAGAACTGGGAAAAGTGACACCAGCTGGTGTTTTGCGTTGCACAGCATAGCTAACCAAACCCAGTCTTGCCTGAAGCCATTCATTCCATGAGCCAGTAAACTCCCCCTTTTGCTTAAGCCTAATTGAGTTGAGTTTCTATTGCTTACGATGACTCTCGACTGACACTGACCTGGGGGACCCCACAAGGACGTGCACATGGCTCCCTCCTTCCTTCCTGACTAGCACATTGGGTTGAGGGTTTGGGGAGGATACCAGAGCGGCCGCCGCAGGGGAGGGGTCACAAGCAGACCCTCCATTCTCTCCCGTTTACAAAGGTACTTGGGTCCAGCCGGAGGTGGCCGCCGCCCAAGTGAGACCACAACACGAGGGACAGCTGTCTGTCCATACACTGGAGGCCCTGGCAGCCTGCTGAGAGCAAGTCTGCACGACAGTGAGCCAGAAGGGCAGGCTCAGGAATGTTCTGGAGTGGGAAACTGAGGGCATCCAAGTCCAGTAGCACCAGCATCACCTCAGCGCCAAGCTCAGGTCTCGGAGAAGACCCGTCCCGGGGCTGCCACAGAACACACAGACTGGGGGCGTCAACAGTTCTGGAAGCTGGAGTCCCTGGGGAGGCCCCTCTTCCTGGCTGTGCCTTCACCTGGCCCCTGGCGTGTGCACAGAAGGCATTAGTCCCACCCGGGGCTCACCCCCCGTGCCTCCCCCAGCCCTGCCACCTGCAAAGGCCCGCCTCCAGCGCCATCCTGTTACAGAGAAGCTTCACCCCATGAAAGCAGAGGGACATAAACGTTCGGTCCATAGCAGTACCTTCACTGCTTCCTTCCTTCATTCATCCCGCAGATGTTTATGGGTGGCTGAGCGAGGGGCTGCAGACAGACAGGTACACAGACCCACAGGGTCCCTGGGCGGCTGGTACTCACCGCCGTGCAGGGCTGGGGACAGACAGACACGGAACGCGGTCACACGGGGGTCTCTGCCATGACCCCTGGATTCAGTGTCAAGCAGGGACACGGGGGCCATCCAACCTGAAGACCTGGAGCGGCTTCCTGGAGCGGAACCGAGATCTGAAGGAAGAGGCGTTCTCCAACAAGGGAGGGACTGTGGAGCGTTGAAGGAACCCCACTAATGTGCGTTTCTGGCAGCATGTGGCGGGGGAGGGGAAAGAGAAGCC